GTTGAGAATCATCGCTACAATACTCAAAAGAGAAGGTTTCTTTCCAAGGCAGCTTGGAGCTGAATCGATCAGCATGAGCTCCTGAATATCCACACACTCTCCCTGCCTTCTTTCCCACGCTTTTCTTCTTCCCCAATGGCATTTTGAATATCGTCTCCACCTGTTCGTACGCCGCCCTTATCAGATCCGGGTCCACCCCATGGTTCGTCACCTGGAACAATCCGTGGTTCCTACACGCCACCCGGATCATCGCCGCCGCGTCCGCCGTCGCCGCCGCGTCCCCTCGTCGGAATCCAGCTAAATCTATCAATGGCTCTTGAAGCTCTTCTGGGTCGTCGACAATGGCGGCTAAGTCGGCGTGTGGCCAGACAAATTCGGTCGGAAGGTTGCCGTTGTGAAACAGTGTCGGAGGAATTGCGGCGGTGCCGGTGGAATCCATTTTTTCTTTATATAATATATATATATATATATTTCCTTCAAGGGGTTGGATTTTGCTTTAAATATACCATGGAATGGATCTGTACGGCGATGTGATTATGTGAATGTTGCTAAGTATCTATCTAGTCTCTATTATAATAATAAATGAGTTCTTGTCTTTTTTTTTTTTTTTTTTAATTAAAGGAATAAAATGACACTCTTAATCCACTAATACATTGTCTGTTTGTCACAATTGTACTAAAACAAGAGTGTACAAAATGTGACATATGAGTGACACCTATCAAACTACGTGTGATCGAGAAAGACAAACATCATAATATAATCGATGTCGTTTTCTTACCATTATGTTATTCTATCACTTAATATTACCTATTGATTACTTATTTGAGTCGAGTCAAAAGTAAAATAACGTGGAATCAAACAGTTTTTTTTTTTAATATTAATACATTCTATTGAACTGGGTCAATATAAATATTTTTAACGGGATTTTTTTTTATTAGTATAAGCATGATTTATCAATAATTGACATATATTTATATGGTTGAGTGTCGGATTCAAATTTATTCAATTTTATTATAATCTATTAAAATCAAACAAAATTAAACGTACAAATAATTAAAATTATAATTTTTTTGGAAGTTAATTATAATAATTGTCATATTTTATTGTAGCTTTTTAAATAATTGCTGATAATTATGGTTTTAGAAAAATGCGGTGTAAAATAAAGTATAATAATAATTGATATATTAAGAATAAATTGATGTGTTTTAATTATTTAATTATTATAAAATAATTATTTAAAACTTATATGCTTTAAATTGTATTTAATTTTGCTTAATCTAAATTAAAAATTAATTTCATAAAAAATATATAAATATGGAAGGATAAATTTGAGATTCGTAAATGTCCATAATTACTCTTTTACCCTTATAAAAACAATGTGAAACAGTCCCTTAATTGAGAAACAAATTTTCTTGTAATAAAAAACAACTTAAAATTAGCTAATAAAAAAATACTTATTAAGTTTATGTTTTATTATTTAGATTTAAAAAATTAAGAAAATAATATTTACATTTATAACCTCAATTTCTATATTAAGATTGACTTTTATTTGATCAATTTTCGACATAAATTTTAACTTTATTAAATTTATAATTATGAAAAAAAATTTGGTTAGAAGTGTTGGATCATGAAAGTCCCACATCGGCTAATTTAGGGAATGATCATAGGTTTATAAGTGAGGAATACTAACTCGATTGACATGAGACCTTTTGAGAAGCCCAAAGAAAAGTTATGAGAACTTATGTTCAAAGTGGACAATATCATACTATTGTGGAGAGTCGTGTTCATCTAACACATAACTGTACATTTGGGAGTCGTGTTTTTTTTTATTTATTTATTTAAAGAAAATTACTATTATTTATTTATTCTGAAGCCGCAAGTAGGAAATGAAAAGGGCAAAGTCGTAAAATCACTTGTTTAATTGATTCCAGCTGCTGGCTGCAACTGCAGCAATGTCAGTGTACTTTGTGTTTGTGGTCTCTTCTTAAACCATGAAGTTTATTGTTGATATGACCAAATTATCCCATAATTATATTAATTATTAATTCTATCTAATTATTAATAATTAAACGTAAAATTTTGAGTTAGTGAAAAAAAAAAAAAAAAATTAATTTTATATAAAATTTACGTATGGTTCTAAACATGACCTGAAATTGATTCAGAATAATCGAGATGATAAAAATAGTTCAGAATCCTTTCTCGAATTTCAATACGTCCCTTAAATTTGCCTCTATAAAGGTATAATAAAAAACAAGAAAGCAAGTGAGTAGATTTTTGATGTCCTTTTGTTGTTGTTTATGTGACGAAGAATCCAAAAGAGAGCTTAAAAGTACACTCCAATTATCATTTCACCATTATTAATATTCACTCTTCTTCTTATCCTTTAATTCATCCATCCCAACTCAATTATTTTAGTTTTTTATACAAAAACTTTACTACACATCTAATCATGCTCATACATCATAACAACTCTTCATGGATTACACTTTCAACTCCAAACATCGATGGATGTTACACACGTTCATAACTAACTTAACTAATTGTGAGGTACGAGTTTTAAATTCTTTGTAATATTATTTATTTGCTGTGAAGTAATTTTTCGTAGTAAATATTATTTACACATATAAATATAAGTTATTTCAGTATGTTTTGTTCTTACTCACGTTTTTTTTTATTCTTAAGATATCACCAAATATAAAATTATTCAAATAAGTATATTTAACTTTGGAGTTTTTATGATTGAGTAATGATCGGAAAAGAAAAGTATAATTGGTTGATATTGGTTTTTTTTTTTTTTTTTTTTTTTTTTTTTTTTTTTTTTTTTTTTTTTTTTTTTTTTTTTTTTTTGTTTATCCCTTTATATTTATAATATTTTAAATATTCCTAATAATTGAGAGGCTTCATTAAAATAAATGATTTGATTATGTAACTAATATACTACAACCATACATTTATTATTTTCGTTTAATATTTAAAACCCAATTTCTCCATAATTTGAATCTGCCGTCATTTTCTGTCTTTATTATTTTTTGTTTGCATTTTATGTTTTGTCTTTTTGCACCATTATTTTCTTTTTTTCCTTTTTTTTTTGTTTTATTGCATTAAAAAAATATTTTTTTTCTTATTATATTCTTAGATTCTGATTAATATAGGGCTTCCAAGCGGAGAGTTTTATGAGTGACAGTAAGAAGATGTGTAAACTATGGGTAAAAGATCGAATTTGTGGCCGATCGATGATGGCTTGACGATGAGGGCAACAAGCATTAGACAATTGGCCATATAAAAGCAGAAGTTGCATTTTGTGGGTAACTAGACGTGACAATTGAATGCATGGATGAGATATTTAACTTTTTTTTTTCTTTCTTATCGTATAAAATTATAAAAATATAAAAAGTATATATTATAAAGGTTGAAATGACCTATTTTAAAGGTGAGATATTTAAGTGTTCGTTCTAGGTTGTTACGAAGTAGAAGAAAAATCGGCGACAAGAACTAAAATAGCTTTGATATGATGATATAACATCAAATTGATGGTCGTGTCGACCCGACAACGAAAGGAAATGAAAAAAAAAAAGAAAAAGAAAAAGAAAAAAAAGAATCCAGTTGTCGTATTGTGGGCGATGGTACGAATTGGGGGAAGGGAGGGGATGTCCGGTGGGAGGGAGGGGGGAGACAGGAAGCAGACCAAAGAGGCTTCACGTGGGTTATATTCCCATGCACTTCGTCCGGAAGCACTTCTGTCCCCACCAACACGTGCTTCTCACGTGAATCCATATGCCTTAGTTCTGTGGGCCCTCCTTTTTTTTTTTTGATGATGGAGAATTTATTTATGGCCAAATTCAACCATGTGACATTTGAATACGATATTTCAAACCTTATTAAATGCTTTAGTTTTTAATATTAATATATATATATATATATAAAAAAAAGGAGATTTCTTGTTTTTTTCCCCTTATTTTTTTTAATAATTTTTTTATTTAGAGAATTTTAATTTTAAAATAGATAATAGAATATAAAAATGTTAGTGGAAGAATTAATCTGAACGCTCAATATGAGTAAATGATCTCAACGTTTCCAAAGAGAGACCAGAGATTTGAATTTCTTTAACCTTCATTTCTATCTGAACTTAAAAAAGAAAAAAAAAAAGACGAATTATATTTTCATAAACCTATTTTCGATAATACAATGAAAATATAAAATAAATAAATAAAAAAATATATATATATATTAGAAAAAATGGTATAAGTCTAATGATGTTAAAGTGTGGAAGAAGACAAGAAAATTAAATAATTAATGAAATGGATGTAGTCTGGTGCTCCAAAGGTGTTTTATGTCCTCAGCTTTGAAAAGTTTGGTGTTGTAATTACACTTCTGCCCCCACTTTGATTTATTGACTAATTAGAACCCAAAAATAAATTAAATTTGTCAACAATTTAATAGGGTTTGGGGTGGGGCTTTGTGGGATAGAAGAAATGGAACATTTTTTCAACCCAATATTTAATGAAAATATCAAAGCTGGACTCAATGGGACAATAATACATCAAAAAATTGTTGTTTTTTTTTTTTTTAATTGATATAAAATATTACTAATTCATAAGGATTAGGTTTGTATTATCGAGCATAGCGTAACGAAACTTATAGAGATGATGAACAATACTAATTCAAAAATTTAAAAATTGATGTGTTAAGGAGGATATTTATAATATTACTTACTTTTCAATCATTTTTTACTATTATTTTTCCCGTGCTTAAAAATATTTTTCTAAGAGGTGTGAAAGTCATTCTTAATAGTTCATAAATCTATTGTCTTGAATTATCTGTATAAGTTACCGAAAATATAGTATTCCAATTATCACAACACTACACATGCATAGAAAGAAGGGTTCAAATGGAACAATATATGGAAAGAAAGAAATCAGAGAATATTTGCAGAAAAGACGCGGGGCCTACATAACTTTTCGACAATGTTGTGTTGTTTACGAAGAAGTTATGACCACTAATTATGGAGTATGTTTTTTTTTATATGAAACGATAAGTATAAGGAAGATCAGGAAAAAAGAAGACATTTCCATGCATTTAAATAACAAAGAAACAGATAGAAACCTTAAGAGATGTTCAGTTTTCCTGGCTTAAAGACAATTGCAAAGCGTGTTCTGCCTCCTTCAGAAATAGAGTGGTTAGCTGCTTCTGACCCTGGCGATAAACAATGCTACACCACTCATTCCTGCTCACCCATTTTCGTTCCTTCCTGCCATCATCTGACCTTCTGCTGCGGCCGAGGAGAATGGGAATGGAGAAAGATGACAATGGTAAGAATTGATGGACTTTTAAGGAAAAATAACTATCAAATAGAAGAATTTTGTAACGGCCCAAGCCTACCTCTAGTAAATATTGTTCTCTTTGAACTTTTTCTTTCGGGTTCCTCCCCAAGGTTTTTAAAACGCATTTGCTAGAGAGAGGTTTCCACACCCTTATAAAAAATGCTTCGTTTTATTCCCCAATTGACGAGGGATCTACAATTCATTTCCCTTCCGGACCCAACATCCTTGTGGGCACACCGCCTCCTCGCTGACACATCATTTGGTGTCTATAGCTCTGATACCATTTGTAACAGCCCAAGCCCACCACTAGCAAATATTATCATCTTTGGGCTTTTCCTTTCGGGCTTCCCCTCTAGGTTTTTAAAATACTGTCGGCTAGGGAGAGATTTCCACATCTTATAAAGAATACTTCGTTCTCCTCCCCAACCGATATGAGATCTCACAAATTTGAAGCCACGTGATACATGGATTAACATTCTTGGTTTAAAGTTTTACGGAACTCAATTTGGTATTGATGAACCTCTCCCTCTATCCCAACACAAATTCATCTATAAAACTACAAACTTCTATGTACTCAGAGCCACAAAAAGCATTGTGAGGTTAAACTTAATCACCAATAAAGGATGGTACCTTGCAGATTCCGGACATGAGCCATTAACGTTCATGCTTTCAATCACTTGGACCTCTTTTAGCATCATAGTGTCGCTTTCCAGAGTTCCGGTGCCCTCTTCAAGATCCATCATCCTAAAACATGGATGGTTACCATCAGTTACCTCAAAACTCAAAGGGGATGCCTTGTAAATACTTTTTCGGTAGTAGAGTTTTTCACATATTAAAAAAAAAAAGGAATAAAAATTTCAATCATTAAGAATAAAAACAATAGATAACTAAGAAAATTAAACTTTGAGATGAACTCCCAAAAGAGGACTTGAAGTGAACCACAACTCAAACTTCCTCTCAGGACACCTACGAGGGTTATAATTAATATTGCATCTTGAGTATAGAAAGTAGAACAAACATCGCTAAAATACAATATAGCAATTACTTCTTTTGAAGAAGATCAACAAGTAATTGCAAGGCTCCAGAGTCACCACAAGCCTCCCAGACTGCTGCTTCCACATCAGTTTCAGTGGGCTGCTTATCCCCTTCAGGTCCAACAACCTTACAGAAGAAAAATAATTTCAATTAGCAGAAACATTAAGCTTGACAAGAAAATAATTTTTTCAAGTTCCTCAACAAAAAAAATATACTTTCAAGTTAATATAATATTACTTCAGAACATGAGAATTTGCAACTACATTAAGAATTATCGATAGCTCGCTCGTGATGTCTCACCTCAACTTCTCATTGAATAAAAATTTTCTGTACAACATCCAGTAAGAAAAAATTGAAGGAAAGATATTATCAATTACCAATATATTGAATAACAAAACTTCCTGGAATATCACGATCAAGAGCAAAGAATTTCACATTATTCTTTATCATTAAAAGATTATTCTATTCTCTGTTTTTCTTGTTTCAAATTGGGTGAGACCAAGTAGTCAATTGTCTATGAAAAAATATGCATGCTGATTAGAATGTGTGATCAACTTTCACTTCATCGAAAGTGTTCTTGAGGTCTCTCGTCCTCATACAAAGATTTAGACCAATCCTACAATAGTTAAACAAAAGGGGCGTTAAGAAATATACGGATTTTCACATTCAAGACCACTAATGGTTATATCTACTTCTGATAATTATTACTGAACGTTGCACCAAGCAACAAGGAGCTTCAGCATATTGATTTAAATGAACCCAAAAGTTCTAGCCCTACCTCTGCCAGTAATGATGAAACTTGCATAAGCTCATCCTCCTGCATAGATATAGTTCTTAAGGCAGTTAAAAATTTCTCAGGGAAAACCAGCTTGTCCAAGTAAGCAGGTATCTTGCGCTGACCGCTCCAGCTGTAATTGCAGGCTCTGTTGCTACAGACATCACTTTGTTGGATATTTGAGGTTTTTGGTGGGTGAAATCCATGATCCAGCAATCTTCTTGGTAAAAGGCATCGCATTTCAGCCTTCTGTAAACAGGAGTTAAAAATAAAAATTTGAACTCATTAGATTCAGCATTTTTGTCCAGACAATGAATCGACTAAACATTTACAAATAGTAAAACATACTATCTGTTAAATATGATAACCATTGAACATAATATAAGCTATGTACGTATATTTTAAAATCGTTAACCTGTACTTCAAGGAGCTGCATCTTCGAATCAGAAAAAGGAACATTCTGGATGGCTTCTAAAGGATAGTGTACCTACATACCACCCATCAAACAACTGGTTTTTGTATATACGAAAACAAATCTTTATAAGTGGAGGGCGTAAACAAAAATTGAAAATCCAAATGATTTGAATTGGTTTGATTGGTTCGACTTTGTATAATTGTAAAACAAAAAAATATTCAACTTCATTTTTCTTCAATCTCCTAAATCGTCAGCAGGCATAGAGTCAGCGTTGACAAAAGACTGACCCAAACCAACCCTCCTACATACCCCTAACTAAAGGAAAAGGGAGAATGCATTGTCCAGTAGTCCTACTGTGTTAGATAGCATTACCATGAGATAATCATCTGGATTATTTTCAATGACAAATCCATAAAGATAAAGAAGCTCCTGCCAAGGATGGAAAAAATATAACCTTATCAGAAAGATAGAATAAAAATAATAAACAATAAGCTTACTCTGTAAAGGAATTTCAATGCAGAAGAAAACTGTGGACGTAACAATTTAATTTAGAGTAAGCTAAAGATGTTTCCTTCTATCATATATGCCCAAGTATAAAAAGATGAAAGCAATATTCACGGTTCACAGACAAGATTTTCGAACCTAAAAATTGATACCTCGTTCCCCTTGTTACCGTAACTGATTGAAACCTCCTCAATTCTAGAAGACCTTGCACCAGCTTTTCCGGATATATCAAGTATAAAGAACTGTTAGAAATATGCAGTAACATTATACTGAAAAGAGAATGGAAGAGTGAAATGACAACAAAGAATAGATGGTTTCATTGGCCTCGGGGGAAAAATGAAGTTGATGAAAGATAACAAAGAGGTCCTCACTTTTCCAACAAAGTTGAGTATTTAATCATTTCAACACCAAAGCTCAAAGAAATCTGAATTCTAGAAGGGAGAACTCTAGATCATATGAAACAGAATGACAAAAAAAGGGGTGGAGAAAGGATATGGAATTCCAACATAAGCATTGAAGAGTAAAAGGCATTATAAGACCAGAAAAGATCACAATACCAGAGAGGAGGTACATTGAAAAAGGCACTCCAGTAATTGATCCTGGTCCATCAACTTCCCATGTTGCTGTTGCTTTCAGATCTAAAAGTATGATGTTTAGTCAGAGAGTGACTGATGTGAGAATTTCGCAACCATGGCCAGTATCAGATAATGTTGACAAGCAAACATCCAAAGAAAAATTCATTCCATCCAACAGCTCCAAAAAATTTCCAGACAGCACATTCAAGAAGAATGATTTCCTGATATTTTTCCCTCAATCTCTTCAACACTACCATGAACAAAGTTTAAACAGGCATTTCCTGTTATTTAGCATTTTTTTTTTTTTTAATTATAACTTATACACTTGATAAAGTTGATCACGATTCCGGGAGGTATCTCTGACCCAATCGACAATCCATTTTTATAACATGATTCTATTGATGAAAGAAAAAAAGAATTCATACATGATTGCAATGAAACATCATCTGTATAGAATTTGTTCAGAATAAAGTGAAATAAACACAAAAGTGAACAAGGGATCAAAAGAACTGTAGTATCTGATAAATTTCTACACACCATGATTGCAAAAGTCAATGCCAGGAACAAGACCCTCCACCCAAACAGTTTCTTGTTTCAGAGACCCAAATGTTTTTTCACTAGCTGTGCTATCAGTCATCCGATGATCTTCACATCCTGAGATTGAATTAGTTGTAAGTTCACATAAAATAATTCCTCCCCATATCATCACAAAAACCAACTACAAATAACTTAGGTACAAGGGCGAGCACCATCTTCATTTTTCGGGCAAGCCAACTGCACCTTGGAGACAGTAGAAGTTGAAACCTCAGTATTTTCTTCGGTCAAGGAGACACTTCCAATCTCTTCTTCAATTTTAGGAAACACATAAGCATGTGGCATTGGAATGTTCAAGGCACGTGCCCAAAAAATGGAATTTGCCCTAAAAAATAATCATGTTCAATCTTGGATGAAACATGAATGGATAGTTAAGCAGAGGCTCGTTAAACAAGATTAAGATAAAACTATCCTGCTAAGTTGCATACCATAGGAAATCTTCAAAGCTCAACTCCCTGAAAAAATGAAAATAGAATATAGCACATAAAATGACTTTCCTTTGCATCAGTGAACAGCATAGTGATACAACATTAAAGACAAAAACAGACAGAGCAAAGTCTAATTTCAAAAAAAAAAAAAAAAACCAAACTTTCATTTGTAGAATACAAGGGGGAATAAAGACAAACAATCCAGACAAATGAGCTGAGTAATAAAAAGAAATTCCAATCAAGCAAAATAAGACCTAAAGGATAATCAAAAAATGCTTTAAACACCAAAGACCACTGAGATTCATGGAATGGAACCTAACCAGGAACTACACATCTGAGGACTTCTCAACCACTTCAAAGATTCTATGGTTCCTCAAAATAAGGAACTTTAAGGATAAGATACGAAATATCAAAGTAGGAAAATTTTTCTAAGGACATACAGTAAAAAAAGAATTGTTTCCAAATGATCAATTTGAAACAAAAGGAGAAAATGGCATCCAAGTTACAGACCTTACTGAAGACCCATCAAGAGTCAACAATCTATTAACCAATTTCTTCACTTTTTTTTCATACAATGACTGCAATGATTTTTTCTGCAAAACAAGAAAAAAAAAAAAAAGATAATAGATTCTTGGTTAACAGGTAAGTCTGGTATGAGAGATCACCATAAAATTGTAATGCAGAACATGATTATTCATATAACCATGTACAGTGAGATTCTGTGTGCGTGTGTGGTGGTGGGGGATACCTGTGATTTCCTGGCCATCTATTTGTAAAACAAAATAAAATTAAGGGCAATAGGTGTAAACTACAACTGCATTAACCATCATTTTTAACGTGCAACCTTGAGACTCATGCAGTTGATCATGAAGATTGATCATAAATGGTATTCAACAGTATCAATAAATTGACTCCATTTCTTCAGGTGATGAGAGAGTAGCAACTATTCTGTATGAACTAACACTAAGATTCATATAACATATACCAAAATGAACTTTGCACCTGCAGTTCAGTTGCTCGATTAAGTGTAGTACCCTTCAGTTCCAAAAGCTCGTTATCAGTAAACCAAAGTGGATTCCCAAATCTTGCAGGAAGCACATCAAGGTACCTGATAATTAAATCACTGAGATCTCACCAACTATAGGACAGAAAAGTAAATGATCATTGAGAAAGAACGTTTATCAGAAACATAAATTAAGAAATGATACATACGGTTTCCATGAAGAATTTTCACGCAGCCGCTCAACCATGAGAAATAAATTCATCAAAAATCTATCATCTACTTCACCTTCTTCATACATTGCTCTACACTCTGGTCCATAAAGAGGATCTTGCAAAACTCTCATTGGAGTAATAGCTAAATTTAGGGGAACAACTAATAGAACCCCTGCACAAGTAAGAAAATGATTTAGTTCCCTGAGAAACTGAGAAGTTATGACAAAAGTAACCCTGAAGTACTTCGAACCAGTATGATTACAAAAGCGTGTTAGCTTTTCTTTTTCAATAAGTAAATATACTTTCATTGGGATAATGATTACTGAAAAAAAAAGCAAGGAAAAGTACAAGTTTCGAAAAATAATTTCCAGTTGGTATATAAGCACATCAAGTTGTAATTACAAAAGGAATTCTCAGCCAACATGCGGCAGCCAGAACTACGTTTTCCCAAGTAGACACCCCTTTTCGAAATGTTGGAATAGTCCTATATTTCTTTCCTTCTAAACTTCCGACAAAAAGGAAACTTCTAAAGTCCTTTCAAGAGGAGGCGACTCCAGAGAAGTGTCTAACGTTTTCCAATGTTCCTTGCATAAGTAGCAGCACGAGAGGGAAATTTGATGGTGTTTGGTCTGGAAACTAGCTTGTATGTTAAATGTTAATACTAAGAAGTTTTAAGTTCAAAGAAAAATTTTAACTTTTTCAAGACTCTGTATTGCAAAAAAGTTCAAGAAAAGGCCAGGGGAAGGGAGACCTCCCCTCTGCAAAATTTCAAGAAAATAGACTTGGCAGAGAGAACATCTGAGCTTTTATCAGTCAACTGTCACTAATCTGGGCTGTTGGAAGGCTCATAGTTTCACAGCAAGAACAGGAGGCCCAAGAGCCTAGGACTGATGTGCTCATCACATAACCAGCGACTGATGTGCTATCTATCTATCATCATCATTACAGAGAACAAAGAGCCTAGGAAGCCTAGAAAATTGGCTATGTAGCAGCTACCAGCATCCAAGAGTCCTTATAAAAAGAATATTATTATGTCTTCCTACCTTCAAATTCACTCTCGCCCACCAAACTATTTAGAGACTGTATGCCAATTCCATTGAATTTAGTCTCCAGAGCTACTCTGCAGGAACAATCACCAACTTCCACTGGAAAAACCAGATTTACTATGAATGCACCGTACCACCAACATCAAGTTGGATAGAAGTGATTTTTATGGAAACGAACTACTATTTTTATTTTTATTTTTTTTCCTTATTCTTACATAGACGCCTTTAGTTAGAATTATTTGTATGGGACATCTACGAAATTCAAATTCATTTCCAAAACAGGTCGTGTGTATAAAAAAAAAGATAAAAATTTTGAATGATAAACTCTCCACATAGAAATTCATGAGCTTCTAGCCCTATATTTATTTCTCAAATAATCAAACAACAGCGAAAGCCAAAGAAACAGCCAAGAAATTTGGCTTCATACTCAAACACTACCGAATAAATTTACCCGCATGAATACAATTCAATGTGACAATAAAGAAGATCGAAATTTAGAATACCGTCAGAGGCATCGTTAGCAGAAAAAAGTCCACATCCTTTGCTTAAATCGCTATATTTGATCGTGCAACCTCGAAGTTCTGCTCCATTAACCTGAATTGGATCCCAGAAAATGAAAAGGCAAAGAACTCTAATTCATAACTCAGCTACACACGCATATGAACACCACTTGACTGAAAAATAAGATGCTACTGATTTCCGGAATCATAGAAGCTGAAACCATTAAGCTGCTTAATTTTCTGACATCGTTTTCTTTCGATTACCTATTCAGGAACTGAGAATAAGTTCACCATTGTTACCTGTAACCATTGGAGGAAAAGTTCGAGCTTAGCTTCAATGGAGTTCGCCATTTTGTGATGACTGCCGGTGACTGTTGCGTCTTAGGCACACGAACACAATGGCGTTTTTGGAGGGTAATGGCCGAGCGGCATTCTACAAGGGCAAAATTGTGAAACGATTATAAAATTTATTATTTTTTATATTACTCTATTTTGAGACCATAAAACTGCCTCTGCCATAGCGCCAAAATCAGCCCCGCCGTCACGCTGCCCCGGTGGGATTCCTCGTCGCTCACACAAACAGTTCTTGATTTCTCTCCCTTTCTGTAAGTTTTCGGTTCCACTCGAAATTACTCCAATTCTCTCGGTTCGCAGTGGCCATTTGGTTCTGAAAATCCCGAATATCAGTATTAAATATTTGACGTTAATGGTTAATTGGAGTTCGTCTTCTTCTATAGCTATGGCGATTGAGTTTACTGTGATTCGATTCTATAAGTTTCCTTGTTTCAGATTTCGTGCATTTAGGTTGTGTTTATTCCTTTGATTTAATGCGTTGCAATAAGTTTTTCTAATTAGAATTCGAAATCGAGGGCTTAGCTTCGTTAATAGATTACACCTTAACTTTCTTAGAGTGTTTGGTCATGTGTACCAAAAAAATCATAAGTAACCATTAGTTAGTCTAACCTAAACCTAAACCTAGCTCAATTGGTTAAGCCTATGCACTCGGGTTCAATCCCCCATGTTTGAGTGTTGTGTTGAATTCAAAATGGAAAAAGTAATAATCAGTATGTCTTGGGACCAAGAGACCAACGGTTGGAGGCTGCAAAATCAATGTATTCATTCCTGTAAACTCATGTATTTCCTAGTTTCTTATGTAACATATCATTTTTTCAGGATGTCTCCGGTGCGAATTCTGGTCATGTATAATGGCGATTGAATTTTTAGTGAGAATGGTTTTGAATCCAATGGTGACGAACTAAAAGGAATCATCGTCGATGAGAAAATTACGTATATCGATCTTTTGGACAAAGTCTATGATATTGTCAAAGTTGACCCAGGTGAATTTGTGGCCACAATGAAATGTTTATATAAAGCTCATGTTTCAACTCCACAAACAGAGATATTAGACAATGAAGATGTCGAGTTTTTCATTGGTGAGAATCTTGTAGACGACCGTGGCCGGAGAACACCCTTGTGCATCACTATCAAACGTAGAGAATCACTAGATCAAGGGGAGGAGGTACGTTCCTACTGCACAAAAGTCTGAAATTCCTCCCTTTCTTGCTCTTACTGAAATTGTAGAACAAAACACAACTTCCATAAGCTGTGGTCCTCAGACAGACTTGAATTGTGATGGTGAGATGCAAAATGTTGATCAACATCAACATGATGATTGTAATGATGATAGAGGACATGATACTGAGGTAGAAAACAAACATATGCAAGACGAGACTTACGGTTGTAGCGATGAGATTCATCCCCATACCTCGAATGATATGTATTTTGATAGTCTTACCATCCGAAATAGCAGAAAAGACGTCCAAGAATATGTAACATCTGATCCATTGAACTCGAGCATTCAACCGTGCTTGTATTCTGAGCGGCTGAACACTGATGTACCAAAAGCTTAACTATTGAGCAGTTGATGTCGGGTGATACTATAGCAGTGGGTCAGACTTACCCAAGCAAGAAGGATGTACAGAGCAAGTTAAGTCTTATGGCTATAAGGGGAAATTTCGAGTTCAAGTAAGGCGTTCGACAAGAGATTTATTGTTCGTTATATGTGCAGACAAAAGCTGTAAGTGGCGACTTCGTGCTTCTTGATAAGATGAACGATTTGGACTGCTTCTTGATAACAAAGTTCCACACTGTCCATACTTGTTTGACAGAGAAGGTTCATTGCAACCATCATCAAGCCAGTAGTTGGGTTGTTGGTCAGCTGATTAAGTCCAAGTTTGAGGAAGGTGCATCTGATTATATAGACCAAATGACATAATCAAGGATGTAGAGGAACAACTTGGATTTACTATATCTTATAATAAAGCTTGGAGGGCACGGGAAATTGCTTTTCGATGCCTAAAGAGATCCCGGGATCGAGAGAGGCGGTCTCGGGGGAGGCCAAGGAATCAATTTACGAAGAGTCGTCTCTACGATTGTGTGGGACGTGTGGTGGTCGTGGCCACAATAGAAAAACTTGTAGGACTCTTCTTGTTTTGCAGTGAAGTGCTAGAGAACTGGGAGTTGATGAAAGAGTAACACCATGAATCCCAAACCAAAATTTATTTAGGATATGTCATGGGTAAGAGTTTATAATACTAAATAATAATTTAGATGCACATTCTATTAATTTTTTAGGGATAAGACTCGATGATTTGTGTAGCATATTAAAGAACAAAACCTCAGTTGTCTCAAAATACATATATAGTCAGCCTCAAGCCTCACTCATGAGAAGATTCAGTCTTCACATCACAATACAAACTATACATTCAGCACCTTCTGAAACTCGTCGGTGATGTCGATGACTTCACTTTCATGTTCTTTTCTCTTCAATTCAGAAAGCTGTAAATTCAGTTCAACAATTTGCTTCTGAATTCTTTCTCCCCTGTCTGGTAATCTTGAGATAAGGACCTGATCATTCGTTCACCCAAAGAAAATTTGAGCTGTTTGGATCAAATGAAGTAAAACCAAAACGACGCTGGGAGGTGGCGAGATCTAGAGGTTTAATGGCTCGTTATTAACATTGGTAAATAGACTCTCTAGTAACTATGGTCTTGTTTTGATTTTGTTGGATTGGATCTGTTTTTTGAGCTACCCCGGAAAAAATAAGGCATTGTTTGCTGGTTGTGTCAAGATTTTATCGTTTTGAACTGTCACTCAAAAGGGAAAGTTGCATAGAACCGTACCTTATTTTCTAGAGTTTGGGACAGCCGATTGATTCTCTCTTTGATTTCCCTTTCAGTCGGCTTGCTTGGACTGCTTGCATTTGTAGCAAATCTATTCAACTTCACATCCTTTGGGTTAAAAGCAAACCTTGCCCTGGAAGCAACGTAAAGGATGTTATCACACCCTGTGTCAATGTAATTCTTCGGTAACTGATAAGTGTAACGTATGAACTCATACCCATCTGTATCAGGATCGATTGAAGAACTTGAAGTTGCTCTTTCACCAAAAGAAAACTCCTTATTCCTCCTACAACCATATTAACATACAACTGGTTAGTTTGAAAAGATAAAGAACATTGCAAGGCTTTTAATTATCTTTTGTTTTTGTTTTTTGTTTTTTTTTTTTTTTTAAATAAGGACAAGATTTATGATGATTGAAATATAGCAGCCTCCTGCAAACAACACTTCTTTAACATGTTTGATTAGTTTTATTTCTAGACCCTGGTACATAGGAACTAAAAGTGCTCAAATCCCTCCCCTTCCAAAAAAAGAATTAATTTTATCGTCCGAATTCATCTCATTTTTCCTTTATTTACTTCCGGTTCTCATACATGGCAATGAAAAATCTGCGTATGAACATATTCACTTTTTTCCCATCATCCTGCGGTTAATTATGATTAAAATTTGCCAATAAAATTTTGATGTTTTCCCTGGCTAAATGCTTAGAAATAGAAGTGGAACGTAAAATAAAGCTACCTGAAAGATGCCTCTTCTTCCTCCAATACGTGCACAGGTTCTGGAGCTGTCTTGGAGAAGAGCAAATTGTGGTGACTAACTCCTGCAATACCTTGTGTTTCCAGGAACTTTATGTGACATTTCAAAGAATCGTCCCTGTAGCCATGAACAACGAGTGAAAACGGGAAAAGTGGAAAGAAAAAAATGTTGACAACTGCAAAATGTCGGTTATGGTCTCCCGTTTAGCAGCCCCAAAGGACTTCAAAGACTAGTAAAACAGTAAGACAAATCAGGACGCTAATTATCAACCTAACTGCTAATACACTCATTTCTTCTCACGCAAATTCTCGACCAAATAGAAGTGTAAACATGTAGGGTATCGAAATCATATTTACCAAACCCCGTAGACTCTTAACAAATCATACTAATATAATCCACAAATGATCCTACTCAACTAGTACAGTCCAGTTGATAAAAGAGTTTTCATCTAAAATTCAAATCTCTCCAAAACGCAGAATGCTAAATATTGAGGCTCCTTGGTCAAGTTTAGTATCACTTGAAACCTGTAGTCAGATGACAATATCAAAATTTTAAAATTATTGTATTGTAAACCATAGGCATTAAGTGTTAAATGTGGACATGCATCTGGATGCCTTATCATATGCTTTAGTGGAATCTATTATTTGAATCGTACATTGTAATTTGTCGATCATGTTCCTCATGCAATTGTTGTTGTGTGACAGATATATCGAACCCGTCTTTTGGAAGGCTAAAAAGCTCCCGAAGATCCTGAAAATTTTACAATGTTAACCACACAATCCAACAGGCAAAACAAATAGATTATTTACATGTATTACCTGTTGACTAAAGTACCGAATCTGTTCTTTGTGCTCTGTTGCGGTTTTAAACAGCCCCCCTTTATAAATCTACACACACATTTTAGAAATCAAAATTTCTCAGAGGCATTTATGAGCCTCCCAGCAGGAGCGCAAAACTAAATTACTGATAAATATGGTCTATGGATAAATCATGGGTATATGTATAGGGAAAAAAGTTTACTCATTTGGCCAGTAAACTATTTTACATTCTCAGGTTTATGTATGACACATTTAACATCATGCTTAATAAGACTTGTACATCTAACAAACATTTATAGAATAAACATTACCTGTTTCCTGTAGATCTTTTCTTCAACAGTCCCACAAGTCATTAATCTGTACACTATAACATCTTTCTTTTGTCCAATTCGGTATGCCCGATCAACACTTTGGTTATCAGTACTGCAAACAGATTGAGAACATCTAGTTAATTACTACAAATTTTGTATATAAAACAAAATAAAAACTTGTCCCTTTTTTTTATGTATCCAAATTTATGATGCTTTGAATATGGCTGTCTTCAATCCCAACACTAAACTAGGAGATTTTGATGCTACACTACAACATTCACCATGCATCTTGTATTAAAAATCAACTGCCTTTAAGTTTTCATATTTTCTATTTTAGGATTATGAATTTTTGTAGCACATAAATGGTCCATTCTCCCTCATCACCCCTTCATTAAAAAATAATAATAATAATAATAATTCATCTGATTCTTCTCCTTCTATTGCATCATTCCTTTAGACTGAACTCTCCTCCCTAAAGGCTAAGTGGCTTATTTCTTTAATTGATTCTATCAAAGATATACAGATAAACAAAGATTTTATCTGTATTTCTTCAATTTATCGAAGATATACAGATAAACAGGAAAATAAACTTGTGAATAAATATCCATAACTATCTTTTCAGTCATTTTGTAGGAAACAAACTTTAATTAAAACATGTTTGTTACTGTTTAACCAATCAATGACAATTTTCTCTTGTATAACCATAAAGAAATAAAATAAAATGAAGCAATAATAGCAGATAAAAAAAAGATGAAAAGATATAGAAATCCGCTTTAATTGAAAGAAGATATTTAGTCATGATATTCTTGAACAAATTTGAGCTGCAACGTTGATGCAAGCATGAGAAAGAAATAAACATATATATTTCAAGAACCTTGGATTCCAGGCAGGATCTACTACAATTACACGATCTGCTCTGGTAAGTGTAAGACCTAAACCACCAACTTGAGATGTCAAGAGAAAAATCGAAGGTCCTCTACCTTCTTGAAAATCCTAAGGGGGGAAAAAGTTCATGTCAAGACTAAGGTTATATGAATATATCTAAGAGTCTTTCGGTACTTTACTTACATTTACAATCTTTACTCTGTCGGTGGCTTTTGTAGTACCGTCAATGCGCAAGAACTCGTAATCATTGGCTAATAGTGATTCCTATAGAGAAAAAAACACCTATATTAATTATTTCAACATTAACTTCTAAACATCTTGATTAGAAAGGGTGGTACTCGTTGCAGATGCCAATTCAAGTTTCCATGAACTGGTGCATTTTCATTCAATTTCACACAACAAATACTCCCACGAACAAGTACAGATGTCCCTTTTAACTTTTAATTTTTTTTAATTATATCAACGAGAAGTTGTTTCTCATTAAAAAAAAATATATTTGGATGGATAAATCGCATGCCACTGTTTATACCAAAGTTGTTTAATAGCATATTTATCATCAATCATCCTGACATTTTGCACTATGAACCAAATACCCTATTTTGTAATGAAACAGTGTCATTTGAATACCAAACGTCAGCATAAGTCAGAGCCAACCTCAATAAGATTGAGCATCTTGCGAGTTTGAGAGAAGATTAGAACATTATGCCCCTTCGGGATCAAATTATCCTGCCAATAACAGAAAGGACGTTATATTGAATATACTAGCTTTTATGAAACAAAGGATTCAATCAAACATCACTAACCAATAAAGACATTATGAAGGATATTTTGCAAGAGACATTGTCATTATACACTTCATAATCATCCCTATCAGCCACATTTGCTAAATGCATTGCCAGCTTCTCTGCTACACCAGCATCTTCTGGACTTAGCACAGTTTCCATTCCTTCCAATAGATCTTCAGCTGCTCTTTTCGTCAAAAGAAGTGGATGATCGCATATTTTCTTAAGAATCTACACCATACCAAATGAATAATTAACTTACATATAACCTGTGGCACTCCCCCATTTGTGGCATGGGTGGATGATGATGCCATTTCAAGAAAGAACAGATAGTGTTAGAACATAGATGCGAGTGGGGGGTATCACTTGATCTCAGCTTTATTAAATGGTGGATTAGTTTTTCTTTCAATTTTCTAATTCAAAAAAAAAAAAAAGGGAAAAAAATTAGCCCAACTTGCATTGTGAATAGTAGGGCATAAAATAAAAAAGCCACGTTCATTAGTTCTATGACAATCCACATGAAGCAAACAGTACTGTCAAGTGTCAACAGACAAGCAGTAAATGATAGGTAAATTGCATAATAATAGAACTTCCTTAGATATTTAATTGTTCCAACAGCGCAAACACTGTGCTTCAGAATAAGAGAATTGAATCACAAGTACAAGAAAATATCCAAATGAAAAAACATTGCATTATATAAGTGATTTCTAAAAAATTGATTCACTAAAGCCCCTATCAAAGAAATATCATTCACAAATAAGAATAGAACACTAAAAGTAATTTTAGATCTACAGACAATGCCATATGAATATCAAGTTGTAGTATAGATTGAACAAATAAGCCAAACTCGATACTTTTGCACATTATTTTAACCGAATTAGAGT